CCCCAGTAAGCAGTATGGGCTGAAAATGAAGACCTCAAGAATGTTCTTCAGCGAGGTGGAGAGACGCTTTGACGCCATGCCCTTCACTCTTAGGTGGGCAGCACTATTCTCATATTTGTTTGGTTCCTACTTGGCTAAATCAAGAGGTGTATCTGCGTTAGATATTCTGTTCTTAAATAAAGCAGGTGTTTTTCATGTACATTTTGACTAGAAGGATGTGAATACCAGTGAAAAGTTGTGGGAACCATGCTGTTGATATTTGATGACGTGTGCTCTATTTTTGTATCGTCACATGAGAATGCTAGGACAATGAATTTAAAACTTGGTGGATAAATCGATGGTTTAGATTTCATGGTCATTTGGTAAACACAGTAGTCTTTGTGTCCTGCAGGGCATTTGAGGATGAAGGAAAGGCTCGTTTGGGAGTGGTGGAGTGTGCCAAACATGAGCTCCTGCAGCCTTTTAGTGTACTGAACGAGAAAGAAGGTCAGTCTCATTACCATTGCACCATTTCTTCCTGCTCTGACCGCTTTCTTTACCTGGTAAATTTCACTTTCCACCTGTTTTTGTCTGTCTTTAGGTGAATTTGTGGCTCAGTTTAAGTTCACAGTGCTGCTGATGGCCAATGGGCCCTTGAGAATCACCAGTGGACCACTTGAAGCGGAACTCTACAAGTCTGAATATGATGTTCAAGATCCCGAACTGAAGGTATGTTAGACCCATCTATTCTATTTAAATCTATTATAAATGAAGGTTTTTCTTACAGTGTTGTTTTGGTTTCTTCTGTCATTTTCAGTCTCTGATCCAGAGTTCTGCAAGTCGCAAAGCACAGAAGAAGAAGAAAAAGAAGGTGAGGCCTTTGCTTCACAAACAGGAACAATCCTTATGTTGTTTCCAAACAAATTACTTTTTTCTTCCATGACACACAAAATGAGAAGTTCAGTGGAATGTCCTGGATGCTCTTTTCTGGAGAATGAAAGTGAATGGGGACCATTAAAGTAGCATAAATATAGTCCAGATGACACGTGTGCTATATTACAAATCTTCAGAAGCCATAAACCAGCATTATGGAAGCTTTGAGGAACAAAATAAGGTTTTAAGCTATTATAAAGGGGAAGTCATGGCCTAATGGTTAGAGAGTCGGACTCATAACCCAAGGTTGCGGGTTCGAGTCTCGTACCGGCAGGGATTGTAGGTGGGGGGAGTGAATGTACAGCACTCTCTTACACCTTCAATACCACGACTGAGGTGCCATTGAGCAAGGCACCGAACCCCCAACTGCTCCCCGGGCGCCGCAGCAAAAAAAATGGCTGCCCACTGCTCCGGGTGTGTGTTCACTTTAAGGAAATTTGCGCACACAAATGCAGAGCTAACTAATTCCGAGTATGGGTCACCATACTTGGCCACATGTCACGTCACTTTAAGGTTGGCAGTCTCCACCTCTGTACAGATCATTTGCACTACAACGGGAAATTTTCAGCAAATTACTTAAATTTCAGTCTGCTTCTCCCACAAAGCTATTGTATGGCTTCAGATAACTTGGAATATGGCATGCCAGTTCTATCAGCTGGCAAAAATCATTCTGAAAGTGTTACAACAATATAATTCTAATGTGTCATTGTTATAGTTGTTTCCTAGAACTAGAATGCTTGTATCGTTATAATTATCGTTATGGTTTATTGTTATAGTTATCGTCCTTGGAGTGAACAGACAGACCTTTTGTCATTTTGGAGCGTGACTGTTCCCATTCATTTTAATTATATGAAAGATTAATTCATGCGTCTGCATTTTGTTATAGGCCTCCAAAACTGCAGAGACTGCTACAGGCCAACCAGCTGAGAATGAAGTTGCAGCTAAATAGAGGCGACACAACTCCACCCTCTCACGAAACCCCCAAAGAGCAAAAACATCAGCATTTCACTCTCGCCCTGTTTTATCCTCTTCGCCATCAAAAATTTGACCAAGAGTCACTGTTAAAGCCTGTGTTTAAACGATTTCTGCCTCCCCCTTTTATGGAGAAATATGTAATTAAGATTTGGACTCCCAAGCGAGTGCAACAAATTTGTACTTTCATAATGAATCTGCTTACTCTTTTGAAGCACTCAATTTACATTTCAACTGGAACGCAATGCCTTTTTCAAAATGTAATTAAAAAAGCTTCGCAATTCTTTTGGAGAGTTGCGTTTTTCACAACATGTCCTGCTGACTGTTTAAAATGCTTCGTTTGGCCCGTAGGTTCATTTGAAACCGCATTACATTAGATTAAGTGGTTTGGGAAAGAAACAAATTGGATTTGCAGCTATTTCTCAGGGTTCTGAAGAAAAAAAACATCTCCCTTATCTGAGAAGTAGTTTTGTACAATTAGGATCGAGAACACATCCATGGAGAATTTGATGACTTACAGGGGACATTAGAATTGGAATTCAGTGAACAGAATTCCTAAGCACGCCATTGTTGTGATGCTATAGCAAAGAACATTACGTCTTTTCTCTAACTGCCATCCCTTTCCACAAGTGTCACATCTGAAGATGACATTAGGGAATGTTTTGGTCATACTTTATTCCTGCCCATTTTCTTTTTTTCACATTTTAATTTGTCTAATTATCTTTTGTTGATGCAACTTTAAGTTGTATTAATTCAAGTTAATATTAGAAAGTCTAGGGATTTGGTTAAAGGTCTGGTCCAAGATACACTAAAGCTACTTCAACCCACTGAAAAAGGTTACCAGTGTTAAAACATATTATTACTTTACCTTCTATGAGCAATAGTGTCTGTTTGACTGAATATTCAGATCAAAACTAGGCTCGGACTGGATTGAGAAGCTTTCCAGGTCTCATTTTTACAATCCAGTCAATGCAGTTATTTCAGGAGAGGTGATGGGAAGTGGCTCTAGAGCATTTCTGGATCAGTCCTGTTATTTGGGGCTTAGTTGAGGCTGGCTCAGTACATCTTTTGAAATGTTGGTTATTGTGACTTCTATTCTGTTTCTAGATTGTAAAGGTTAATGTGGGAGAGGAGGCCGGAGGTTTGGATTTGACACAATCTTGTTTTTGTAGAACCATCGAATGGGACTATTTTACAACTAATGAAATAAAACACAACTTTTAATATATTTTCTTTAAGATTGTCATCATTAATTGTAAAAAAGAATGCAGTCTTTGCCATGCATTTGTGTAGTTGGTGTACTAGGGTTGTTTAATTTGAGTTCTATATTGGTAACAAGTCATTTACAAGTTCGAAGCATGAAGCAAATGTAATAGCTCTGAGAAAATAACAGGAACTTTTTGAAGGTTTGGTGTCGATGCACTATTTATAAACCAGATAATTATATATCTACCGATTTATTTCTATCTCCAGCAGGGAGAAGTTGAACCTTTGAATGGAAAAATAGGGTTTCTTTTTATATTTGGTAACGGGGCGCTGTGGGGCCCAGACTATCAAATACCGGTTGAAGTTCATTCAGATGCTTGGTCCAAGACTTTTAATTGACTAGAGACTGAAACATTGTTATTAAAATCGATAAACGCCAAAGACCACTATCGTTCACGACAATACTTTCAACATAGTAAAATAGCTCAAGTGTCTTAATTCCACAAACACTTGTCTTACCTGTGACATGACAGATATACATTGACTTAGCAGTTAAAATTTTAGTGAGGAAATACATTTATTTAAACATTTATCCTGATTTGCTACAGATAATTTTTTTAACGATTCATAGGAGTCAGGTCTTTTCACTGATTCTGAACAACTCGAAACGAAAACCTGTGGCGAAAAGGTACAACGTACTCGAAATACATCTTCAGCTTGGTTTTATTACAGTTTTATAAACACACATACGAAACAGATTAAAAAAATCGAAAAGAAAAACCTGAGTATGTAAAATACCACGCTGGGAATCGTTTAAAAAAAAATAGTTCTCCGAAACGAACTGTTCGAAAGAATCGACTCGGAAATTAATCGGACCATCAATAGAAAATGTATTTCCATCAATAATGAGGTCGTGAACGTCAAGATAGGTAAACTTCCTATGCGTCGCCGTTTTTACTATAATTTATTATGAAACAATTATAAAACGTTTGTCCGCCTCGCCGCAGGCCGTCTAACGGGAGATGGTGATGGTGATGGTGAGGAGGCGCGAGGAATGAGCACGCGCTAGGCGGCCGCAGAAACTTCAGCTCGTGCAGGAGACAATGTTATCTCAGTTAACGGTCATCTCGTCGCTGTGTTTGTATACATTCTAATGTGGCATAGTTGTCGCTAATTTCAAATTAATTGCGAGACCGTGACCGTTAGGAAGGTGTTTTATAGGGGGGTTATCATTTGAATGAATGTTTGAAGGACTGTCCGGCTCTGGAGTCCCGCGTCAGTTTACCGGGGATTCATCTGTGAAATATCAGACATGACCCACTTTTTTTTGCCCTGCTTGCCTTATTTTAACCTTATTTTTTTTTCTTGTGAAAATTACAGTAACTCTTAGTCCAGTTGTAGGCCAGAGTAGACCGAGACCGTCTGGCTCTTGCTTATATTGGGTTGTTTGTTTATTAATGCGACTGTGGATGTGATCCATATTAAACTTGCATTAACTAGTAGGTGTAAACCGATTCAGACAATGTTTTACATGCAGCTGTATCATGAAAATATGAACTTGGTTCAGCTGTATGTTCCAAAAATGCAGTATTTGATGAATATTCATTAATTAACAGCGTGCTAGTTAGGTAAATCCATTCAGTAGTTTAATGTTTTTGTATCTTATGAATGTATGCGTGAAAAACTACTACAGCTGTTGTATTATTATGATAAGGACTGGTTTAAAATGCTGACCATATAATATAGATTATGTGAATGCTGCGAATTGAACATTCTCTGCTATTTCCATGTAAAACCAATGCAATATTTGACCTTCAAACGCCTATGCCACGGCTGTGTCATCACTTCAATTCGAAGACGATCTCTGCTCTTCCATCGCTAACCATCCTTTAACTCTTTTTCCAGGTGGCCTATTTAATTCCTCATGCCGGAGATGGCGCAGCGGAGCGGGCAAGAGGACCCTGAGCGGTACCTCTTTGTGGATCGGGCCATGGTCTACAACCCTGCTTCTCAGGCAGACTGGACAGCCAAGAAGCTGGTGTGGGTTCCTTCCGAACGGCATGGGTTTGAGGCGGCCAGCATCCGCGAGGAACGTGGAGAGGAGGTGCTCGTTGAGCTGGCTGAAAATGGCAAGAAGGCCCTGGTGAACAAAGATGACATCCAGAAGATGAACCCGCCCAAGTTCAGCAAAGTGGAGGATATGGCAGAACTCACCTGCCTGAATGAAGCGTCTGTTTTACACAACCTGAAAGATCGCTACTACTCTGGGCTCATATACGTAAGTGTGATGATGATCATACATTTGCTTTCAAGTTGAATACTTTTCCTACCTTGGGTTTTGCAGGTGTGTGTACGGAGTAGGGCTGCAACTAATGATTATTTTGATAATTGATTATTCTGATGGTGTTCCTCGTTTAATCAAAGTCAACTTGTTCTGTATTTATATACATATTACAAGTATGTTTGAAGCACATAATGTAAAGCGCTGTGATAAATTAATCCATGCACTTTTCCCATAGCAACTTATATTGTCTTCTATTATGTTTCAGATGCATTTTGTCCATAGAAATGTGTTATTCACTACCATAAAATGACAGGAGTGGTGAATTTTTTTTGTGCACATATGCATATTAATCGATAATCAAATTCGTTGTTGATTATTGTCATTATCGATTTTATTGATTAGCTGTGGCAGCCCTTGTAGGGGAGCTTCATGAGAGTTACTTTGGGATCTTGACCTATTTTATAGCATGTACTGAGAGAGAGAAACTGGGGACTTTTATTATTCAAGAGAGAGAAAGAGAGTGTGAAGCAAGCTGTTTGGAGGTGTAGCCCCATCATTTCCTTCATTCCCCAAGTGTGGAGGAGCTGCAATGAAGTCATGAAATCTCAATGAGAGCAGCCACTTCTGTCTTCACACTTCTGTTGATATTCCCACCCAGTTACCACCTTTAAAAACACTGGATGAAATTTATCCAGTTAAATTTTCATTTCCCATCATTGAAAGCTTTTCCAGGTCGATTGGCCATCTCGATTGGCAGCACTTCAGACGTTATGAAAGCAAGCACTGTTGTCATTTTACACAATGATGAGAGAGTGCAGACCACTCTCCCATACGCACTTAGCTGTGTGGAACACGGTCAGGCTGGATTGTAAGTCTAGTTTCCTGTATTTTTTGTTATTTAAGCCTCTGAGGTTGCTGTGCTCCCTCCTTATAGGCTACAGTAATTAGCCGTAGAGGCCCATGCTTGGCCTAGTAAAACCTGAAGTTTTATAACAGGACCTTTGTGTTTGGCATTGAGCTACAGCTGGCTTGTAATATCTGCGAGATGTCAAGATGTCAGACGTGACTGTTGATAACAACCGCATTCCTCAGCATTCCCCAAATTTCTCAGCTTCCTTATTACTGTTGGCTAATGTTATGTTTGAAGAAATACAGCCACAAAATGGAAGCATAATGTTATGTATTTACTTAAAGGTTGTATATTCTTTCCTGTGTGCGTGGCTGGTGACCAGACCTCAGGCTGGTGTGTGGTATGTGCTCTCATATCTGCTGTGTGGGCAGAGCCGTGGAGTTGCTGCGTTCCTCTCTGCCTTCCCACACCCCTCTGCTCTTGAATAGCATGATGGGTGATGACACGTTAGACTTGATTTCTCTTTATGGGTTTGTTTAGAACAAATATTTTCCAGTTCTGTATATTTGACATGATGTGAGTTTATTTAATAAATAAATGTATGTATTTTTTGATTTTGAAATTTTTTTTGAGCTTGTAATTTTTAATCGAAATACCACACCTTGATCTTTCGGTGAAACGACAAACTTCTTTCTCTTTGGTGACGTATGCCGGACTGATTCAATCATAAACCCCGCCCCTATCTTACAGTCGACTGCAAACTTGCATTCAGATCAAATCAACAAGTCCCCACCCTGCATTATTTTGTTCTTTTTCGATAATCCTTTTCACTTGGATGTATGTCACCATATGGAAGATATTTCTCGTTATTTTGGGACATTAAATGTACTGGAATATGTAGTTGTGGCTTATCCCTATTATCAGAATTTAAAAAGTAAGAATGATGAGACCATTGTTGAATTCTTGGAAATTATACAAGTTTGGTATTTTGATGAGAGGCATCTTTCATAACACAAGATGAAGAGCAATCTTTTGACTCATTTCTTTTTTTTATTGGGTTTCACGGATTTGGACAGGATTTGAAAAATGAGTAAAATAGGATCACAACCTGTCAAATATTTTTGTGTAAGAACTGTGCCAGGATTCCCGTTAAGATAGTCTTTCTACTTTTATTTTACACTTAATACCCAGAAATATACTTCAGTTTTGATTCTCAGTCAAACATGTAGTCGTTCAACACATGCGCACTACAATGTTTTCTCCTTGTCCGGTGTCCGGTGTCGTCTGTATCTGTTGTGCTCTCCAGTGATTTGTTGTTGTTTTTCCAACAAAACTAAAAAATTATCACAATTTACATTGAATGATGTTTACCATTGTTTGAAGCACCACATGCCATATTTTTAGATGAAAATAAGCTGAAAACACTGAAAAACTTATTGTTTTTTTTATAGTATTATGCCTAAGCCGCAGATGTCAACTATACATTGGATTGGTTTCTTCTTTACATAAAAAAAAAAGTAAAAATATGCATGGTATTATGTTATGTTTGATTATGTCTTTAATTGATTTTTTCAGTACATTTCTGCCATATGTACATTAACTAACAGTCACCACTGATAAGCTATCACTAAATATTGTAGAAACTTAATTTGCTGTAAAGTTGCTTTGAAACGATTCGAAAAAATGTGTATTGTGAAAAGCGCTATACAAATAAACTTGAATTGAATTATACTAAAACTAAAATTAAAACAATGGAAAACCTCTTGAGATGGTGACAACCATCGGTTTATATTAATGTAAAGTCTGTTTATGAAGTGTTTACATAGATGATCAATGTGGAAGAGCTTAAAGAGAGCAAACTGAGCTTAATGGGAGCAGCAACAATTTTTTATAAATTTCATGTAATATATATTAAAATGACAAGATTTTGCAAAATAAATAATCTAGGTCATGTATGAAGTTCATACATATTTTATAATGAACAACTATTATTAACAATATCTATGAAATGACCCTCTTTCTTATTGATGTCACACTGAAGCTGTTGGATTTTCATAGTAATGCACCCTTTAAGCTCACCTTACAATAATATGAAATCTTTAAAAATTACAGCAGTATAAAACAACAGACTAGCAATAAACTGCACATTTATAATATTATGGATTTAAAAGTACAAGCCAGTAATGCCTATGAAGTTATATATTAGCGTAGCACACAATCTTATACAGCTAGTCAGCTAACTGTATTCTGTAGCATCTACGCTGTGTTGCTAAAACTATCTTTTGGATCTAACAATAATTATATCCCACGTCCAAGTTCCAGGTTATGATATGCAAAAGTATAAACATTAATCTCTTAATTTTACAGTAAGTAGTGAAACTTACCCAAAATAAAGGCTTAAACGTCTAAAAAATGCACATTTAAAGAGCTCCTCTTTTGGTGAAAGTTTTCAGACAGCTTTCAAAATGGCCAGCAGACAGTGTGAACACATGGAGACTCATATCTCCGTGTGCAATGATCTGATTGACTTGAAATTACAGGAGGTATGTAGTAACAAACACATCAATTGGTTAAGACATCAAGTATGATAATACATTTTGTCTTTTTATATTCTGAGCTCAAATATGGAAGTGTGCTTAATGGGTATGTGAGCTTAATAGGTACGTTTACACTAACCTGTAGAAATAAAAAACACATGTTAAGCATGCAGAATAACATAAGTGGACTTTGAACGATTAATTGCTGCTTTGAACGATTACATAATTGCGGCATCCTTAATTTTAATCATGATTAGAAATTTGGTTGATTGTGCAGCCCTACTGGAGAGAAACAACTTTGCAGCCACAAGTCTCCTGAGTCCAAGTCTATTGTTCTGGCCTGCGATTTAGTTTGGCAGGACGGCTTTGTCTGGTGGGGAAGCTGGGAGTGGGATGTAGACAGATCTGTCCTCAATGCAACCCCGATATTCCTTTACACCCATATATATATATATATATATATATATATATATATATATATATATATATACACACACACAGTGTGTGCGGAGAGTGTGCAGACCCCC